AAACGGGTGGGTGGGTGGGGCCACTTTGATTTCTTTAAGCGTTGATCCGACCACTTGACAAAATAAAATTCAATCTTCAAAGCGCTCTAGAAATATATGCATAGGGTAAATGTGTACAAGAGTGCGAATATGTATAAGAGTACGCACTGCTGATTTCTGTTTATTAGTGCCATCTGGGTAAGATGAAGTTATACCATTCAGAATTTAATGCTAAACCTGAGATAAAGGTGCAAAAGTGACCTGAATATAGTTTATAGTTTGGTCGTACTGACGAATTTATGTTCACACGTTGTGTGAATGTAATTTTTACCGCTCATAGTTTTAGTTTTTTGTAAGGTACGTACCAGTTCTTTTATTTTACAGTAATAATTTTCATTAGTTGTAACTTTTAAGGTCTCGTTATACACTAACAGTTTTATACTTTCTATCCATCAAAAGCTTTTAACTTTGAAAACATTAGGTTATGTACAAATGCACAAGAGTGCGGATCGAGGTATTGTATAAGAGTGCGCATTGCTTGCAATACGTAGTCTAATAGTCTTGGAGATACATATCATACGATAATGAATTATTTAACTCTACTACTTTGTACTGCTTTTCAAGTTGTGTGGTGGTGGTTATGGTGATTTTTTTTTTATTTTTACTTCCTGAGCGTGTTGTAATCGAGTCCGTCGACCGACTCTCTATTTTTACGTTTTCTCGAGTTTTTAAGACCCCTAGAGTACGAAGAAATAGGTCTCCCGTTTTATGTGTAGTCTGTAGTCACTTATTCCCATTTATTTTCACCTTAGAAACAAATATTTTTTCATAAAATGTAATGCGTACTCATAAGCGTTCAAATGCGCACTCTTGTGCAATGAACTGTCTAAGAGTGCGCATTTACACATCTTGACAAAAATTGAAATTACTCTTAAAATATAGTGGTGTTGGGACGTACAATTAAATATATCTGATCTCTAAACATGTATATAACGAACCTATATCATAAAATTTGTCTGTCCAAAAAAATTAAAAAGTTGTTGACAGTTTTACACTAAGTGCGTACTCTTGTACACATTTACCCTACTAAAAATTTTTCTAATAAGTACAATTAAGCAACTTCTAATGACATACCTTGTTTTTAACAGCGAAACATTTCTTTGAAACATGGGGAAAATCCGCAATGACTAACCTCTAAAAAGTCTCTTAAGTTTATTTAGTGCTGCGTTTACGGTCGTATCCGTCACGCCTGTTGCTCTTGTTTGACCAAATCATAACCCGAAAAAGCGCTTTTGATTAACTTTACGGTTTCATTATCGCAATCGTAAAAATTATCATAGTCGTAAACGTACAAAAGCAACAATAAACCAATCTGAATGTCCCTTGTTAAATGCGCTCAGGTGTTTTCGTAACATTTCTTTTATATCCCCTTCCCCCAATTACGTAAACATCATGAACCCATCAAACGCACCCGTCGAATAACCAGGGTCGAGTTGATTTAATAACAATATCGCGCCGACAAATCTCCAAACCCACACCTGACAGCAACTCTGTGATTGATTCTCCGATAATGTTTGTCACTATTAAAATACCTTATCTGCATGTGTCATAACAGGTGAAATACTATAATTAGTGACAAGTCCATCCACTCGATCCCACTCCAGATACTGAAGTCCAATTATGCAGGATCTTGTAAAGGGGAGCAAGTTTAGGGTATATTTGCTACGATGGACGACTCATTATTTTATTTGTGCAAAAATGGATTGTCTCTTTTGTGCTTTAAGGCCTTATTTTATGATTTCAGTAGTAGCGAAAATTAATGTTAACACTAGAAGTCCCTGAGATTATTTCATAATCTTGAAGAAAAAGACACCAAGGGCCCCCAAGATTCATTCGCAATCTTAAAGAAAAAGACACTAGGAGCCCTCAAGATTTGTTCGCATCCTTACATAAATAAGATACTAGAAGCCCCTGAGATTCTTTCCAGTCTTGAAGAAAAATACACTAAGGTATTTTTCGCAATCTTAAAAAAAAGGACACCTCTGAGATTTTTACATAATCTTAAAGAAAAGACGCTAGGGCCCCCTGAGATCCTTTCGCATTTATAAAAAAAAAAACGCCCTACGAGCCCCTGAGATTCCTACGTAATCTTAAAGTAAAAGACTAGACGCTCCTGAAACTTACGTAATCTTAAGCAAAAACACACCAGAGGCCCCTGAAATTCCTTCGTATCTAAAAAAAAAAGACACTAAGAGCACACGAGATTCTTTCGCATCTATAAAAAAAGACACTAGGAGTCCCTGAGATTCTTACGTAATCTTAAAGTAAAAGATACTCGACGCCCCTGAGATTCTTTCGCAATCTTAAAGAAAAATGCACCAGGAGCCCCTGAGATTCTTACGTAATCTTAAACAAAAACACATTAGGGGCCCCTGAGATTCTTTCGCAATTTTGTAGAATAATACAATAGAAACCCCTGAGATTCTTTCGCAATCTTAAAGAAAAAGACATTAGGAGCCCCTGAGATCCTTTCGCAATATTAAAGAAAAATAAACTAGGAGCCCCTGAGATTCTTTCGCATCTATAAAAAAGACACTACGAGCACTCGAGATTCTTTCACATCTAAAAGAAAGACACTAGGAGCCCTGAGATTCTCTCTCAATTTTGGAGAAAAACACAATAGAAGCCTCTGAGATTCTTTCGCAGTCTTAAAGAAAAAGACATTAGGAGCCCCTGAGATTCTTTCGCAATATTAAAGAAAAATAAACTAGGAGCCCCTGAGATTCTTACGTAATCTCAAACAAAAACACACTAGGGCCCCTGAGATTCTTTCGCATCTATAAAAAAGACACTACGAGCACACCCGAGATTCTTTCACATCTAAAAGAAAGACACTAGGAGCCACTGAGACTCTTTCGCAATTTTGGAGAAAAATACAATAGAAGCCCCTGAGATTCTTTCGCAATCTTAAAGAAAAAGACATTAGGAGCCCCTGAGATTCTTTCGCAATTTAAAAAAAAAAAAAAGACACTAGGAGCACCCGAGATTCTTTCGCCTCTATAAAAAAAAACACTAGGAGCTCCTGAGATTCTTTCGCAGTCTTAAAGAAAAATACAATAGAAGCCCCTGAGATTCTTTCGCAATATTAAAGAAAAATAATCTGGGAGCCCCCGAGATTCTTACGTAATCTCAAACAAAAACACACTAGGGGCCCCTGAGATTCTTTCTCACCTATAAAAAAGACACTACGGGCACCCGAGATTCTTTCACATCAAAAAAAAAGACATTAGGAGCCACTGAGATTCTTTCGCAATTTTGGAGGAAAATACAATAGAAGCCCCTGAGATTCTTTCGCAATCTTAGAGAAAAAGACATTAGGATCCACTGAGATCCTTTCGCAATCTAAAAAAAAATACACTAGACGCCCCTGAGATTCTTTCGCAGTCTTGAAGAAAAATACGATAAAAGTCCCCAACATTCTTACGAAATCTTAAAGAAAAAGACACTACGGACCCCTGAAATTCTTACGTAATTTTAAAGAAAAAGACACTTGGGGCCCTGAGATTCCTTCGTATCTATAAAAAGACACTAGGAGCCCCAAAGATTCTTTTGCATCCATAAATAAAAACACTAGGGACCCCCTAAATTCTTTCGCAATCCTAATAAAAAAGATATTCAGGGCCCCTGAGATTCTTTCGCGTTCTTAAAGAAAAAGACACTAAGAGTCCTCGAGTCAACAGAACTTTCCTCGCCTTTTAAATACAGTCGAACAAGTACAGTGTACATAACTTTGAAGATTTTATTATATCTGTACATAATTAGTTTACGTGGATTATTAAAATATATGTAAAGAAGCATCGTAGGGTAAATGTGTACAAGAGTACGCACTTAGTGTAAAACTGTCAACAACTTTTTAATTTTTTTGGACAGACAAATTTTATGATATAGGTTCGTTATATACATGTTTAGAGATCAGATATATTTAATTGTACGTCTCAACACCACTATATTTTAAGAGTAATTTCAATTTTTGTCAAGATGTGTAAATGCGCACTCTTAGACAGTTCATTGCACAAGAGTGCGCATTTGAACGCTTATGAGTACGCATTACATTTTATGAAAAAATATTTGTTTCTAAGGTGAAAATAAATGGGAATAAGTGACTACAGACTACACATAAAACGGGAGACCTATTTCTTCGTACTCTAGGGGTCTTAAAAACTCGAGAAAACGTAAAAATAGAGAGTCGGTCGACGGACTCGATTACAACACGCTCAGGAAGTAAAAATAAAAAAAAAATCACCATAACCACCACCACACAACTTGAAAAGCAGTACAAAGTAGTAGAGTTAAATAATTCATTATCGTATGATATGTATCTCCAAGACTATTAGACTACGTATTGCAAGCAATGCGCACTCTTATACAATACCTCGATCCGCACTCTTGTGCATTTGTACATAACCTAATGTTTTCAAAGTTAAAAGCTTTTGATGGATAGAAAGTATAAAACTGTTAGTGTATAACGAGACCTTAAAAGTTACAACTAATGAAAATTATTACTGTAAAATAAAAGAACTGGTACGTACCTTACAAAAAACTAAAACTATGAGCGGTAAAAATTACATTCACACAACGTGTGAACATAAATTCGTCAGTACGACCAAACTATAAACTATATTCAGGTCACTTTTGCACCTTTATCTCAGGTTTAGCATTAAATTCTGAATGGTATAACTTCATCTTACCCAGATGGCACTAATAAACAGAAATCAGCAGTGCGTACTCTTATACATATTCGCACTCTTGTACACATTTACCCTAATTGTACGGATGAAAAAATTATTAGATAGACTTTTAACGTTTTTTTCACAAGGTACCAAAAATTTTGTGGTGTCATCTCAGAATTTTGCTAAGTAAATTTTGCCTACAGTAGATGAAATAGGTTTTGAACAAAAGAGAACTAGTAGATAAAAAAAATAAACAAACCAAAACAAAGGTTAAACATTTTTTTTGTCTAGGATGTTTGCCGTACCGAGGTGCGGTCGCTGCCAGGCCGGCATCTCCGCCAACGAGCTGGTGATGAGAGCCCGCGATTCTGTCTACCACCTCCACTGCTTCTCCTGCACGTCCTGCGGGATCCCCCTGTCCAAAGGAGACCATTTTGGAATGAGAGACGGACTGATTTATTGTCGGCCGCACTACGAACTTCTGGATTACTGCGATACGAGCGATCCCGTTGAAATGATGTTCAGGGGGAGTGAGTCGCCCCCGGGATACTACGGGAATACGCCGCCCCAGCACCATAAGGGGCGACCAAGGAAAAGGAAGTTGCCGGTGGACGACAGATCGCCCTGTGGGGAGCTTCCGGTTACAATGAGGATGGCAGCTGCTACATTGGGTAAGAGACATTTTTTCTAATACATATGTATATATTACTTTACACGTATTACGGTTGTTTGTGCAGAGGCGGACTGGTCAGTCGCGTCGTTCAATATTAAAAAAAAAAATGTACCTAGCAATGTTAATTCTTGTGCTATTATTAGTTCAATTTCTACGTAGCAAAAGTTAAGAGAGTGAGATATGATAGAAATGATACAATAAAAACGAAAATCTTTTGTATTGGAAATTTTGGGTAAGCAGTAACATTATTTAATGATTATAGAATATTATTAAAATAAACAAAACATACGTCTTGAAATGTACATAGTTTTTGTTTTAATCAGATGCTTAGTTTTTTAATTGCTTGAATGAAATGTTTAGCAAATGCATAAGTTATTATTTTATTGATTATATCTCAGACATTCTTCATCTATATCTATTATATTACCTCGATATATCATTTTGAAGACAATTTCCTCTCCTAATAATTACTTTTTCTGACAGATATTCTCTCATAACTAAGAATTATTATGTGTCTAAGTTGATTTGTCGAGTGCTAGGAAGAAATCTTCATCAAGACTTGTAAATATTTATTATTGTCTCTTCAGCGAAAATCAATCATATTAGAAATTATTTTATTAAAACATTAGCGTCGTTATCTTTCAACATTTTTTTTTATAGTAAGCTGACATTATTAAATTAACCAAATAATAATAATAAGGTTCAAAATTCAAAAGAACAATTAGGTAGTAAAGTGTTACTTGAATAAAAAAAAAAAAATTATATTTAGTATAATTATGTTGAAACAAGTTTCTGCACTTCAGTAGATGCAAAATCCAAATTCCACCATTTTTTTACAATAATAAACAAACGATAAATTATTATTAAATTGTTGATAACCAAAGAGCATATTAATTAGACGGATCATGAAATTAATCGTTATTATTATAATAACATTTTTTAATAACACAGCTGATATACTTAATTATTTAATTTTTTTTCTGTCATATTCATCTTCCTAGTATGCGATGAAATTTTATTATACAGGGTGAACAACAGAACATCACAATGTTCCGTTTTGGATCATTATACAGCATGGTTTTCAAATAAAATAACCAATACAACTATATTTTATCTTTGAAATTCCAATAAAACGTTGGCAAAAAAATCCAGTATTATTATAGTAAACATGAAGTTGAGCCTAGTATACATAGTGTTTATAAAATAATTCTAAAATAATATAGTACCTCCATTTAATCATATAAAATATTTTGTATTTTATTTTACATGTTACGCTATTTGGTATCCTCTTTCTTTGTTGAAAACCCTGAAACTTTATTACTGGAAAATTTATAATAATTTAGAATTTTTTACAAACATTTTCTATACTGAGGATCAATTTTAGTTTGTAAAATATAGTCCCACATATGCCAAAATAGCGCTACAAGATTTTTTTTTGTTTTGCATTGTTGAAAAATTTAAAAAAATTCGGAATAACTTGTGAAGTTCAGGGAGAGACCAATCAGAGGATAAAGAAATATGTCGAGTGATCAAAAATGATTGTAATTGAGTCATCCTTGACTCTTAATAATCTCCATGTGTTTGACAGAACAGTTCACTGATGTGCAGTTTTCCGGACAGTAATAATTTGCCTTTTAAATTTAAATATTCAGGGTATCAATAAACGAACGGCCCTCGATACTCATCAATTATTAGGAATCGACTATACAGAGTGTTTTGTTTTTAGTAACTATTTTTTTAATTCCGATGCGTAGGTTCACAAAAAATTGCAATAATGTAATTTTTAAGCCATGTGTTGCAATACAGGGTGTCCCAGAATTCGCGCCATTCCCGTGAATGACATGTTCCCTGTCCCGAACTGTGCCGTAATTCGCAAAAAGAATTGTCCAGGCTTTAACCGTGTGAGAACTGGAAGGCGATTAAGTTGACCAATAGAGAGGCTGCTTTTATGTCCGAACGTTTCTGTGTTCAAAGTTACCTATGCCAAGGACAAAAAATCCGGTAATACTAAAGTTGAATGAATTGTTTCCGAATCCCCCTCCGTCAACAAAAGGAAACAGAAGTGTGGTTATAAATTTAATCATTTTGACAATTGTTTGTCATAAACTGTCACGAAGTTCATCACTGACCTGAACAGACGCTTCTGCGCCAAAGATGACTGATTAATGTACACAGAGACGTCAAGGTTTATTTTAAGGCAAGTAGCATGGGACAGAAGTTATTTCTGCTGCCATTCTAGTTAAATTGTGTTTAACTAGGCTGTACATGCCATAAAAGAAGCTGTTTCATTTCATCGTAGGCAAATAATACATTTATTACTATTCTGCATAGTGTAGATATCGAAGAGCAGGTATTAGAAGTCATTTTCTTAGAGCCCCGTGAATAATGTGTTGTTCTTTTTAACGAAAAGTAGTGCATTTTCAGAATTCACTATGCATCATATCCCTGATATTAAGTTTATCGTTATTTCTAAAAAAGAGTACCACATGTCCATTCAAAGAACGTTATTAAGTGTACTAAAACATAAATATCGCTTTTGGTTAATCGGTGCTTATGATTTTCAATAAACAGTATCAATTTTTACCGAACAGCTTTGTTGCTGATACCTAATCTAAGCAACGAAAAAAGAAACGAGACACCACTTCTCTGGTGTATTGAAATCATAGGTATCTGCTGTGGTGTCAATCATGTGGGGGAGATACTGAAAACGGAGACTTATTCAAGAATAATATTGATGTTGCACATGATGATTTAAAACAGTCTCTTTAAAGTTGTGAGCACTTTCTAGAGATTGAAAAGATACCAATAAAAAATGTGACAAAAATCGTTTAGTTGCATTTTTTTTTTAAGAACAATACAAACTATAAACAAATCAGTACCAATACCACTAAGTTATTGATGTCTTAGTCATACTAGTACCTATAAAGAATATTTGGAAATGATGTTAATTTATGGAGAATGTAAACGCTGTGCAGCCACTGCTGTGCGCGAATATACAGGTCTTTTCCCCAACCATCGGCTCCTTGACCAGCATGTGTTTCGTCGTTTGTTGCATCCAGCAAAAGAAGATGGATCTTTTTAGCCTATTCGGAAAGACCTTCCTGGGGCTACACGGATTATTATTATTATCCACATTTCGCTAACGTGAGAGCATATCAAGAGCAATACTATTAATCTATGGGCTGGAATCGGGTAGTCGGTTGGTCCCAGATGCTGCACTCTCGTGTAATGGTAAGGATGCAGTCTTCTCTCTTGAAGGATACGATGAGTAGTCGATCTTGAGCATCCACTCATTTGCTCTACGCAGCGGACACTTCTCCTAGGATCCGCTTCCATCAATATTATTCTTGAATAAGTCTCCGTTTTCAGTATCTCCCCCACATGATTGACACCACAGCAGATGCCTATGATTTCAATACACCAGAGAAGTGGAGTCTCGTCTCTTTTTTCGTTGCTTGGATTAGGTATCAGCAACAAAGCTGTTCGGTAAAAATTGATACTGTTTATTGAAAATCATAAGCACCGATTAATCAAAAGCGATATTTATGTTTTAGTACACTTAATAACGTTCTTTGAATAGACATGTGGTACTCTTTTTTAGAAATATGACGTTAAGTGGACTCGTGCTAAATCCAAAGTTGTAAAAGTTGTTTGTAATTCTTGTCACACTAATATAAGTCAATTCAAAGATATTAAAACTCTAATAACCGCATTTCAAGAGCAAATAACTACTAATATTAATAAGATCAAAGAAGATCTTCAAACTCAAATCAACGAGCTGAAATCCAGCTTGCCGACTGTACAACCCAAAGATGTGCAATTTGAAGAGGTTATCCAGGAATTCACGGAACGGCAAAAGAGGAAAGTTAATTTAATAATTTTCGGTGTTGATGAAGAACGTCAAGACTCTATCACTGATAGCGGCCCAAAAGAACATTTAATCGTGAGACAGTCTGAGAAAGATAAGTCTTCCGTTAATAATATACTTTCCACAATTGATCCCAATTATAATAATGTAAATTTAAAGATCCAGCGCCTTGGTCGATTTGTTGAGGGCAGTCTTAGGCCCAGACCTTTAAGAGTTACACTAAATAGTGAGCTAGACGTACTAAACTTGTTACGTACTGCTAAAGTCCTCAAGAACAATGATTGTTACAAAAATTTATCTCTTTTTTCGGACCGCACACCTCAACAAATATCTCACTACAAACAGCTTAAAGAGGAGCTAGCTGTCCGTACAAAAAACGGGGAAGGTAACCTAAGGATACGTTATTTCAATGGTTCACCTAAGAACGTGAATTTAAACTGAACCGTTTACCCAATTATAGTACTTCAATTTCTTGTATTTACCAAAATGTGCGTGGCTTACGGACCAAGATTCAGGAAACTTATAATGCAACTTCTAATTGTAATTATGATATTATCGCACTCAGCGAAACGTGGCTGTCAGATGATATATCCAGTAGTGAGTTAATTTCAAATAACTACGTGGTTTACCGTAGCGATCGTAATTTTGAATCGTTATCAGTATCTCGAGGTGGTGGAGTTCTTTTATCTATTCGTAACTCGATTGTATCAACTTCTTTAGATCTATCTATCATTACATCTACTGTCCCTACTATTGACTTAGTTGGAGCATGTATAATTAATTCTAACAACACTAAACTACTTATATTCGTAATATATATTCCTCCCTCAAATTCCTTCAATGACTTTAATCTTTTTTTCGATCTTTTTTCAAACCTTTACGGTAACTGTGAAGATGATATTATAATCATTGGTGACTTCAATACGCCATCACTAAATGTTAATCCACTTAATCGTTACGCCTTAAAAGTTGACACTTTTAGTAATTTCCTCAACCTTACTCAATACAACAGATGTCCAAACAGTTTTGGCTCCATCCTTGATTTAGTTTATTCTAATCTTAAGTGTTCTGTTGAAATCTCGTCATCGTGTATTGTTAGTGAAGATAGATACCATCCATCTCTTGATATT